TTTTGTCACCTCGGCCATGATTTCAGACCTATCGTCCTGCGATTTCGCGTGAACGACGCGATGAGCTTCCTATTTCAAGACGTGGGCCGTTTGCTGGCCCTTCGTCCTGGGGACATCGTCGGCCTTATCTGAGCGTCTCGCTCTAAGGGGTTGATATGATGAGTTCTGTCGGCCATACCTGAGCGTTTCGCTCTAAGGGATCGATATGATATGCAGTATCTTAGACTCAGGGTTACCGTTTACCGCTTTTAAGCATAATAATGTCGTGTGCGGCCGATAGCGGCTCTCAATTTTAGATGCCCAAGGCACCAAATAAAGGTGACTAAGGTAGGTCGATGGACCTAAATATAATCCGAATCATCAAATAAAGATGTTCGGTAGACTAGAGCTCGGGTTCACCAATTTAGGGTTTTTTTAACCCGCTCTAACGGTGTTGATAATAATAATAACGCCAATAATAATGCATTAGTAGCAACCTCGGGAAATTTTAATCCGCCATAATGGTCTTCACCACCTCGGGGGATTTAACCCGCCATAATGGTGCTGGAAATAATATAATTAATAATAGTAATAATTATACTACTATCATTTAATAAATATTTTAAGTGCATAAATAGGAGTATTGGGCACTTAGCTCTTATTTGGGCCAGAATAATGGGCTGAAATAGCAGATCCATGCAGAAATTGGGTCCATGGCTTGTTGTTGAGGAGGCCCACCACCCCTTTTGACCAATTTTGACCTAGCTCCTGACAATCTGCTGCAAAAACTCTGGCCAGATTCCTTCAACTTCGTACGCACCAAGACCCCAAGCGGTAGACGGAAGCAGGAAACTGGTTCTATAGACCCGAGCAGCCCAACAGTGAGTGAGGACGGCGACGGCGGAGCTCAACCAGACTATACCGGCGACGAAGTTTCTTCAAACGGAGACTGATGTCTTCCTCAGGTGGACCCGACGGCAACACGAATTGACCGGGGGTAGGCTCACTAGAGCTCCGGCAGCGCCGACAGATCTTCCTCAGTACCGGCGACGTCTGATACACCCTTCAAGTTGGGTCCGCAGGGGAATTCCAAACTGTTTATTACCGGAGCTCTTAGGGGCCATTAATGGCGGATCTGTGAGGCTTAACTCCAATATCCGAGGCGAGTGAGCTAGAGATGGCAGTCGCCGCCTCAGTTCCGAGCCTCGAGCTGCGGCAGCGACCAGCAGGGTGCCAGAGGTTGTTTGTAGTGCATCGATCTCAACCTCACTGCGGACAACTGGGTTAACGCAGATCTAGACGGGAAACCGCAGGTCCGTATTTTTCGCTAGGCCTGGGGCAACGGCTGTGCTGGACTTCAGCAGGTGCAGCGGTAGATAACATTCTTGACCTTGGACAGAGACGACGGCTTAGATATTTCATTTCCAGATTTTTTTTGCTATTTTTAACATTTTCAAATCCGTTTTTGACTGATTTCTTGTATTTTGGATGAAGTTTTTGATATTTTGGGAGGAAATCTCACTTGATTTTGCTCTAATCTCTCAATGAAAGCACCATTGATGGATTATTTATCTAGAGAGAAGGGAGAGCTAGAGAGATAAAGTGATGTATAAATGAATTTCCCATCCTTTACATGGCTCCCATGGGGAGTATTTATAGGAGAAAAGTGGGCTGGGCTTCCAGGCTTGGGCCTCAATTACAATAAAAGGCCAATAAATGGCTAACAAATGGTATTTAAACTATTCTAATGGATATACATGAATAAAATAGAGTGTACAATGAGATAAATGCTACTCCGTATCTACTGAGCGTATGTGGGCCGCTGTTCGGATCCAATAGTCGTGAGACCCGGGGGTCTGAGTCTATATACTCTATCACTAATCAAATAGTTCTATAATGTTTTGAAATAGGAAGTTTTTGAAAGGAAAAACCGTTTATATTAATATTAATATCATTAAGATTCAGATCGTTACATCAGACTCAAAGAGACCAGCATTGACAACAACTTTCCGTAACAACCTATCACCATATATCAATTATACTGCTAGACATAGAAACGATCATCCCTGAAAGAGCAATATGAATCGCTAATTACCAAATGGGTGTGACACATCAATCACTGGCCGTACAGATTATTCTAACAATGTACGTAAAAGTTAGCAGAATTGTCAATCATTATTGTAGATCTAAAACTACAGACATTAACAAAAAATAGAGAAACATAAACAAACATAAGAACATAAGAAATAAAGTAAGTGATAGAAGCTCCAAACTCCTTTCTGTCATTTTTCTTGAAACATCATCTTCCAAACCTTGACACCTAAGTCGCTCCAAGGTTGCAGTTCGGGGGGGGGGGGGGGGGGGGGGGGGTTGATCTATCTTCTCCCTTGTTCAGCCCTTCGATCACCGCTCCCCGTCTGATCGTCGCCCGTGCCGCCTCCTAATATATATGGTCGTCGTGTACCTGCCAATTGATTCATGTGACGTAATGGTTGCTACTAGCAAAAAGTTCACACCTGGTGTACCAGAATCCATGGCCTCCACCAAAAACACCTAATCCTCTTCCTCCATCTCCATCCTGCCCTAGGCTTGAGCCAACACCTCAATCTGCCTTTGCCCGTAATTAGCATCCATTGTTGTCGACTTGCAAAAACCTTCACTTGACCGGTGCTAGCAAACTCCCTTTTGCATCGTCTCACATCAAACTTTCTGACTGCAAATACCCTTTGAATGCAACCCCTGTACACATGATACAAACTACAGGCAAGAAACTGCCGGACAAAGCTACTCGCCACTAGAACGAAACTATGCAAAACCTAGGGTAACCCTAGGCACCGTGTTCTCCCTTGTGCAGCCCTTCAATCACCGCTCCCCATCTGCTCGTCGCCCGTGCAGCCTCTTAATATATATGGTCGTCGTGTACCTGTCAATTGATTCATGTGACGTAATGGTTTCTACTAGCAAAAAGTTCACGCCTGATGTACCAGAATCCATGGCTTCCACCAAAAACACCTCATCCTCTTCCTCCATCTACATCCCGCCCTAGGCTTGAGCCAACACCTCAATCTCCCTTTGCCTGTAATTAGCAACCATCGTTGTCGACTTGCAAAAACCTTCTCTTGACCGGTGCTAGCAAACTGCCTTTTGCGTCTCACATCAAACTTTCTGATTGCAAATACCCTTTGAATGCAACCCCTGCACACGTGATACAAACTACAGGCAAGAAACTGTCGGACAAAGCTACTCGCCACCGGAACTAAACTATGTAGAACCTAGGGTAACCCAAGGCACCGTGTCGTCCATGCACCGTTTCCTAGATCACATCTCCGGTCTGTGAGTTGATATCTTTAAAATAGGACTTATTCACTCACACTTTGGAAAGTTTAATTTTAATCAATTTGTTCTTTAAGTAGAAAAATGTACTTGATGACAGTTTTCTCGCACTTAAATTGATAGTAGAATAGTGGTGAAAGTACGAGTATCGTCTCCACAAGGACGGACAAAAGGGAATTAAGAATTAATCAAATTCAGCGATTAAAAATAAATAAAAAAATGCAATTGTGCGAGATTGATTGATTTGGAAAATTAACTAATGCGAATGAGCGAATAAAAATAATTGATTGATTTCTTCTTAATTAACGACGAAGGGAACAAGGATTGATTCCGGGGTAATCAAATTTCTGGCTGATCAGGCTTAATTACATGAAATTAATTTAATTGAGCCTAGCTAATCAATACGAAGTTCTTACCGCTCTCGCGGTGTAGAGTACAATAATTTTGAGGACCAGACTGATCTCTCATTAGACAAGTTCCTAAATTATTGCCAAAACGAGCGAGCTTACGGCCCCTTAATCGCTACTAATCTCTTAGCGAGCGATTAAGTATGTGTGAAGGTGTCTTAGAATAAACTAGATCTCTCTTAATTTATTCTTCAATCAATTGTAATTCTAGTTGCGGTTCCAAGTTACAAGAGATATCAGTTAAATTATTCAAACACAAATTAAACGGCATTCATGCAATTAATCCATCAAGAAACTAACCATACATCATGATTAACCCCTTCATCACGGCGTGCGCACACTCTAGTAGCTTCTTCGCTTCAGCTCTTGTGCACGCACGGCGTGCATACTCAGCATGCATGACGTGCTTAATCTCGTTCCGCCTCCTGGAGCTTACAGCCACGCACGCACGGCGTGCGTATCTCCTGGGCACGACCGTGCGTGTCTTAGAACTTGATTTTGTCTTCTTTTCCTCGCTCCAAATGCCCCCGCAGTCGTTCCAAAGGCTCTTTCTCCAATGATTCTTCGTCGTGAACCTCCCGGTGACCACCAAATCTCTCAAATCTTTCTCGAATGCTCCTCAACTCTTCTCAAATGCTTTTCATGTGCCGATGTCGGACTCAAATTCCCTGATTTTGACTCCAAAAGATATCAAACTCGTACCAACGCCCGGTAAACATAACTTGAGCTAAAATTGCGACTTGTAACACCCTAAAGCTAGGAAAATCATCAAAAGCCGATCCCAACACGCATTGAATGCGTGTTGTAATACGAACTTATCACTACTCTATCTTATTTTTGAATTTTGTATATGTTTTAGTTCTATAATAAACAATTTTTATATTTTAAGTGGAAATTGTATCTTTCAAAAAAAGTGGAAATTCTAAAATTTTGAGGGAGGGAGTAATAAAAGAATGGACGGGGAGGGAAATAGTTTTGACACACCTTGACAATGTTGAGTTTTTCATTTTGGGTGTAGTAATAAAAATAATATAGAAATTGCTCTAAATAGGAGTAAAAACGTTTTGAAATTCCAAAATAGGAGTATCATCTTTTTATTCTATGAATAAGAGTAATGTGCCAAGTTTGAAAAAAAATGTCATGTTTAAAGCCTTAATAATGCCAAACTTGGAAGAAATTTACTCCTATTCAAGGAATAAAAAACATGATACTCCTATTTAGGGAATTCTCTCAAAATAATATACAAAAAATCACCACCTCATATAGTAATGGACTTTTCAGGCCTCTCATGCAACGATTTCACCCTCTCATCCTATATACCATTAATCAAGAAAAGAACCAAACTTGGCGGAGGTGGACGGTGGTTCCCGGCATAGTAGATGGTGGCACGGTAGTAAAGCATTGCCTTATCATGGAAGGTGTCGCCGCTCCGTCGCAACGCAAGGTGATGGTTGTGGCGGACCCCACCAGGGAGTCAGCGGCCGCCCTTGAATATGCCCTCTCCCATGCAATTCTTGAAAACGACACGTTGTACCTTCTCCACATCGAGAACCCCAATGCGTGGAGAAACCAGATCGGGTCATTCTTCAAATGGCCCCCCTCGTCGGCTTCCAATAGGACCGCCACCTCAGACGGCGGAGCGGCCGCCCTGGGGCTCAGCGGCGGCCCGCATGTGGAGGTGGACTTCTTAGAATCCATGAAGCGTGCATGTGAGGTTGCGCAGACGAAAATGGCGGTGCATGCTGAGAGGGTGGCCATAATGGATGGGAAGGATAAAGCTTCGGTCATACTTTCTCAGTGTTCAACGCTTGGGATTGATCTTCTCATTATTGGGCAGAGGAGGACTCTATCCAATGCAATTTTGGGGTTAGAATTAATGCATTTTTAAATTTACCCTCTATTGCATTTGTTTTCATTTGCATGCACACCACTACACAACGTACCTAGGCATAAATTGATAAGTCTTGGGTTCTAATCCTTATAACTGTGATTAGAGTTCACTCTGTAAAAGTGCATATGCATATACTTGGGCAAGAGTCTCACTCTCTATTTACGGATATGTGATTAAGGTCCAATTCACATCCTTCCATTTTACTGTTTGGTTAGGCCCATTGCATAAATTATGCATAAATTGGTTAGGCCCATTGCTAGGCCGCGTCATTTCAATTTTTTGTGAAAAGGATTTTGAAGGATTTTGGAGTAGGCCGGTATAAAGAATTTTGCAGTCATTTTTACACACATATTTTTACACTAAACATACAAAGAATTACTACCTCCGTCCCTAAAAATCCTTCCCAGTTTGACTTGGCACAGATATTAAGAAAGTGGAATAAAATGGAAATGTATGATTGTGCTTATGTAAGAAAAAGGTGAAATGAGATAATAAGAATTACTATCTCATTTTTTAATTGGGTAGTGCAGTTCTCACCTTACAAGAATCACAATCTTGGAACTACACATGTACAATCTATGTATAGTTAGTTGATACGAGTATGAGTTAATTGAAGTTATTCATTTTCATTTTTATGGGGCAGGCCGAAGAGAAGTGGACGAGGATCGTTAAAAGGGCTAGACACTGCAGAATATTTGATTGAGAACAGCAAATGCACCTGTGTTGGAGTACAGAGAAAGGGCCAAAATGCTGGATATATTCTCAATACTAAAACACATAAAAACTTTTGGCTCTTAGCTTAAATCAACTTAATTATTAATTACTTGATCCATCTCATTTCTCAGATCAATTAATATAATTAGTTGGTTCAAATGCATAAATGGTACTTTAACTATTGGTAATATTGCATTTTGGTACCTCAACTCTTAAATGAATTAAAACGGGACCTGGCCTTCCATTCTTTTGGAACTCCATCCGTCCTGAAAAGGTTGGCCAAATTTCCTTTTTTGGATGTCCTAAAAAGATTTGCCATTTCCATTTAAAGTAAGGAATATGTGGCTAAAATTAATTCTCTCCTCTGCAAAAATTTCAACCACATAGTTTTTACTTTATTAATCCATGTGAAAGTCAACTTTGTCCAACCTTTTTGGGACGGAGGAAGTATAAATGTTTCGTATTGAGACTTTACGCACAGAATTATATTCTTGCCGCCACGTGTGATCTTTTGGTCGGAAATTTGAATAAAATCTCAATTCGAAATATTTATGTAAAGTTATGATATCGTTTTGATTCATTTAAGATTTGTGCTTCTTCCTTACGGTGACATTATTGTAAATTCTTTCCGCTTTTAAATAAATAATTCACCTCTAAATACTCCCCTCTTCTATATATTTATACCCTAATATCCACATGGCTACTTACTAATATATCACCAGTTCTTAATTTAGTACGAAGTATTCTCTACAATCTACATCTACAAATCCTACCATGCAAAAGAATGTTTTTCTCGCTCTCCCAATGAGCCACACCGACACATTCAATGTGTCAAAACGCTTAATAACTCCCACGCATACTCACTTCACCGAACCTTAAAGTAGTTTAATGCATGGGTGAAGTAGTATATTATTCCGGTTCCAAGATATCAGAGCCAATGAATATCATGTTTAGACTAAATATGATGCTTATTGGATCTGATATCGAGGAACTGGAATATCCATAATTACTTCTTCTTTTTAACTGCAAATTTTTTACGAGTATTAAAAAGACACATAATACTACATTTTATTCTATAAATAAACTTTGTCACCTTTTCTTTAAAAAAGTTTTTTTTTCCAAAAATAATATTAAAGTAAAACTTATTTACAAAAAAAGATCCATAGTTACTACAATGTAATGTCATGGTAACTTAAGTTTAAAAGTTGAACGTATATTATTATGATTTCATCACTATTCTAGTCACTAGTTACATTTTTGTAAATAATTTTCATTTTTCGTCATAAATATGTAATCATTATTTTTTTTAAATGGATTTAGTACCAATTTTTTCTTTTTATAAGTCTCACCCACACATGTTTCACTTTAACAATTACTTTTTTATTAGTTACTTTCTGCATGCTACGGAACATATGGAGTGCAATTTTGTTCACCCTCACCAAAGAGGGTGATGTTCACCCCCCACCCTAATTGCTTGCCATGTGGCAAGGCAATTCTAAATTATTTGGCAATTGTTTTAACTTTTTAATTTTTAATCCAATTTTTTAAAAAAATATATCAAAATTTTTATTTTTTTAAGATCTTTCATATGGTATCAATATTGCATATAAAAAATAAAAAAAATCTACCTAAAAATTAATATTTATAAAAATGCGATTTTTTTGTCCAACTTTTTTATATACAATATTGATGTCATTGGAAAGATCTTAAAAAGTTATTAAATCTGATATATTTTTCTATAAAATTTGAACAATAAATAAAAAATTAAATTGATTTAAAGAAAAAAAGGGGATGGGAAGCTACATGGCAAGCAATTAGGGTGGGGGTGAACATCACCCTCTTTGGTGAGGGTGAACAAAATTGCACTAGAACATATGTATCGGCCATACATGTAAGTGCTGTATCGTACCTCGATGTATTCGGTGTTGGAAAAATGTGTTAAAAATTGCATTAAATGGTTAATTTGGGACAATATTTTGAGTGGGGTCCACTTCCGATTTGGGTCGGGTCAGAGTGGTTTCGGATTTTCCTTGTTAAGAGCTACAATTCGATATATGGTACACTCAAAATGGATAACGGGTGAATGAGAATTTTATTCTCGAAGTTCACTCGTTAAAATGGAAAAACTAGGAAAATGATGGGTTTCTAGTGTGTTTTATCCCACACCGGAAATCCATGGGATTTTCACCTCGTTATAAAGGGAACCCTCTTTGAAGGAGTTAAGATTCCTACGGGGAAAGGCTCTCTTCGCGCGCCGGGGGTGCCTATTCAAATCCTGAAAACGGAGAAGAAAAATTGTGACTCGTGTGCACGGGCGATCTACGGACACGAATGTCGTCCGAAAAATATATCATTCATAGATACGATTTAATTTTTGTTTCTTCCCGTAAACGTTCCTTATTTTTTTCAGACTGGCAGAATCACTCTGCTTCATCTATTTTCTATTTTCTTTAATCATTTTAATTAATTTTTATTAATTATTTTCTTTGTTTTTCGAAACACACACCATTCAGTAGGTCAAAGTCATTACTTCATCAATTTTTCTAAATCAATTGTATTCATCCATCTGGATAAGATATATTAAGAGTTACTTAGTTTTTCATTGCGTTAATTTCATACTTCTTAATTTCTTATGTGTGCTTTATGTATTAGGTCATTTATTTTTGAATACATTTTTTTTTATTAAAAACAAGCACACATAATAATACCTCATTTTATTCGTTTTTATATGGAATACCTCATTTTATTCTACAAACTTGGACACTTTCACTTGCAATGAAAGTTTTGTCATTTTGTAAAATTACCTTCCCAAATACATTTTTTTGTCATTTTCATTTTCTTCCCTTATTTTTATTTCATTTTCCTTTTTATGTTTCTCTTCTTAGTGATCACTCTTTTTATAAAGATCTTTTTTCAATCCCAATCTACTTTTTGTTATATATTTTTTATTTTAACTTTTCCCCCTTTTTCTTCTTGTTACTTTTTTTAATGTTTTATCTTCTTTATTCTTTTCTTTCTTCTTTTTATCTTAATCCCATCATCAATACATTTTTTCTCCATTCTTTATTATCATATTTTTCTAAGTAAATCTGCACATTAATTCCATCAATTGTTGAAAAAACTCTATATGATAAAAAGATTAGAGAAAAATAAAATTTCAAGAAAAATAAAACATTCTGGAAATGTATAGAAAAATAAAACACTCTGGAAAATATAACTTTTTCTTATTAACATGTTACCGATGTTTCTGATGGAGTATATGGGTCTGAGCCCCAGGACCCACATACTCGGAAGAACAGAAAGCACAAGACAACAGAGTGGCGCCCTCGTCGGCCAAGACGCCCCCGTCGGCCGAGAGGAAGCCAACTCGGATTGTGGTCCTGAGTCCAAGGAACCCGGGTGCCCTCGTCGGTCGTGCCCTCGTCGGCCGTGCCCTCGTCGGCCGCGCCCTCGTCGGCCACGAAGACCTCCCAGAATCGGATTCTATACTTGCTCATTTGTACAGCCCATTAGAGGCTTTGTATTCGGCCCAGTAGCGGTCCAGTTGTAAATGGGCCTCCCAAGCCCAAGGCTTGGGAGCCCAACCCTAATTTTCTCTATAAATACTCCCCTTGGGAGTAGTTATAGGGGTTACAAATTCATTCCATTGAAGCATATTATTGCACTTCTCTCTCTAGCTCTCACCTCTCTCTAGAATCTAGGAGTTAATACTCTATCATTTGGTGCTCTCGTTGAGAGCTAGAACAATCAAGTTAGCACCCTTCGTCGCTACCAAGCACAGCTAACCACTGATCATGGGGAGAACTAAGTCAAACCGCAACCTCGTCAGCAAAGTCATCCCTGAGGACCAAGAGCCCAGGGAGCACGATGAGGACGCCACGGCCGACCAGGTCGGCGGAGGGGACCTCTTCCAGGAGGCCTTCAACCTCACGACGGACCTCCGCAACCAACTCAACGGCGGAGTCCCCGACGCCCGCCTCGGCCTGGAAAAGAAACGAGCTGAGAAAGCGGACCACGCCCCGGCCCAGCCTATGGCCGCGGCCTCTCCGTCCGTAGATCCTCAGGTCCAGGCCGCACTATCGGCTATCATCGCCAGCTTGGCTCAGAATCCCACCGTCCTCAGCGCACTCCTGCCAAGGACCGGGGGAAACGTCACTCCACCTCCTCATCCCCAACTGTTGGCCGTCCAGATAGGCAACGATGAGGGGGTTGTGGCCCAGGACACGGCATCGTCCCACTCCCACCCTGCTTCCCCTCTTCGGCCCGGGCAGACCCCAGCGCGTGGAAAAGCCTCTGCCTTCAATAGACTAGGTGACACGCGCCGTCGTCCGGTTTCGGAGAGGATGGCGGGACGGATTGGTGATCTTCGTCCTGGCTCGCCAAGGGAAAGTTTGGGGTCTGTGTCCCGGACAGCGGACCAGCCCCGCCCGGACAAGGGCAAGGGGAAGTTGCACGAGGATGACGTGCGTCACCAGATCAACGTGGCTCACAACGAGCGCCTGAGGAAAGAGCCGGGCGCCGCTGCGGCCGATAGGGACCCCCGGGATGAGGTCATCGCCGAGCTGGAAAGGAGGTTGGCTCAGATGGAGGCCAAGCAGTCGGCCAACATCCCTACGGCCGGCGCCTCCAACGACCCCGGCCTCAACGCGCTCATGAACAAAGTCAGCGCCCTGGAGAGGGAGCTGGCCGAAGGGCGGGGTGACCCCATCATCCAGGTCAGGACTAGGACCCCTTTCACCAACAGGGTCCTCTCGGCCCCCATCCCTGAGAAATACAGGGGGAACGCCATCAAGTCCTACGATGGCCGATCAGACCCCCAGGAGCACTTCAGCCGCTATCAAAACAACATGCTGATGGTGAACGCGTCCGACGAATACCTCTGCCGTTGGTTCCTCTCTACTCTCGAGGGGCCAGCGTACGAGTGGTTCAACGGACTGCCAGAGGGAAGCATTGACTCATGGCAAGATCTCGCCCAGCGCTTCCTCACTCACTTTGCCGGAAGGAAGCGCGCCAAGAAGTATTTCACCCACCTCCTCTCCGTCAAACAGCAGCACGAGGAGTCCCTCCGGTCATTCATCGACCGGTGGACGAGGGAGACAGAGGAGGTCGAGGGGGCCGATGAGCGCACCCTCCTCGCCTTGTACCAGGGAGCCCTCCGCAGCTCCCCGTACGCCAGGAGCCTCATCACTGACCCCCCGAGGTCGTACGCCAAGGCGCTCCAACGCGGAGGCTTGTATGCCGACGCCGACGAGCTCCACAATCACAAGAGAGAGGGGGGCCACCCCCCAAGAAGACAAATCCTTCGCCGGTCTCGGGTCCGTCCCCGGCCGGCCAGGGTGCCCAGGGCCGCCACGGCTCTGGTGGACAAAGTAAGAAAGACCGCCACTGGCGGCCGAGGCTGGAACGGCCGGGGGTAGCCCTCACCCACCCGGTCGGCACCATCCTCGATTATGCCGAGAAGCATGGCCTCATCGAGCAGGCTCCTCGGCCGGCCGAGGAGATCCTGGCCATCCAGCAGGGCGGCACGGACTGCAGGTTCCGCAAGAACTCCTCAAGCTAACGAGGCCGGCCGAAAGGGAAGGACAGAGGATAGACACCATTACGGCCGCCGTCGCCATGGACGAGGAGAGGCCACATGCGGAGCCGGCCGAGGAGGTCGAGGTAATCCCTCTGGATACCTCCCGGCCGGAGCGG